CACTCACACTCACACTCACACTCACACTCACACTCACACTCACACTCACTCACCCACACTCACCCTTACCCACATTCACTCTCACTCACCCACACTCACTCTTACCCACATTCACTCTCACTCACAATCACACTCACTCACTCACCACCACCGCCACCGTCACCACGATCCCCACCTTGATCACCACCATCACCTCTCTGGACCCCAATGCGTCTAGATCTCTAGACTTTCTGCTTATAGACCTCACGCACACTGATTGGTGTCTCTTACCAAGATAGTGAATTTTTAATATTGATAATACATATCTATTTGCGAAAACATTCGTACGATAAATATTCTGCTATATTCTATGAAGGAAGAATTGGAAGACTATGGATTTCAACTAATCGACATGATAATTTTCTCATAAGCACCAACATTCGATTCATTTTAAGGATGGCACTCCGGTCCCTAAGGAAGCATTACCCGAAAGGTTAACATTCGGATTGAAATCGAAAATCAGGTGGCCACCTGGAAACGTATGTATGTCTTGTCAATTGTCTTGCCCGCTGAAAAATCGTTTACATTAGCATGATCAAGTCCAAATTGTTGTATGGCTTGGAAATGGTTGAGCTCATTCGCGCTTTGTTATCGAAATTCGAAGTGCGCCAATTACGTGGTCTCCGCAAGCTCCTACATTTAATTGCCATTTATACAAATAGAAGAAATTCTAATATGTAAATTTATAGAAGGTTCAATATTCATGCTGCAGGACGAAATAACGAATCGAAATTCACCTGATCAATAGACCAATACCTATACAATAGGAAAATTTTATTCATTTCTCTTATTCTGAGGGCCGACAATGATGATCCGATAAACAAATTACGTTTCGTAAAGACAATGCTTTTCCATATCGATCATACATAATATTCTTTTTATTTATTCCATGAATCGATAAAATCAGCTCCTCATCGAGGCTCGAAGCAGACTATTCTAGCCTTCTTATTATCCTTTGTGGCGATTATTATATATATATATATTATATATTCATATATGTTAGATATATTCCTCGTCATAGAATCATAATATTTCATATATTTGTTTTATATTAGGTATTTTACATATTTTCATTTTAGCAAAAAATAAATATCAAATAAATATTCTCCTCGGAAAGCGGTTTGTAATCAATTTATTTAGACCTTTCTATAATATATATTATTTTTTATATTTTATAAATAGAATATCAATATAATAAATCTATAAATATTATTCAAAAATAATACATCAAAATATAAAACAAAATCAATTTACTATCAATCAATATTCATAAACTAATTTAAAATATCGAATACTCAAAAATCGTTCGAATTAAAAAATACGAATATCAACAATATATAATTTTTAAATATGTCATAATAAATCCATAAATATATTTCATTTTAAATATTAAGAATAAAGATCAAAAAAATATATCTATAAATAGATTATTCCTATATACATATATTAAGATAATCAATATTCTAATTTTTTATTTATAATATCTTATATAATATTTCGAAATAAAATTATATAATCAATATATTCTAAATCAACAATAATTCTCTAATTCAATTTTGATAATTATATATTAATTTACTAGGGTCGGCCCGCTGTTTACAACAACGGAAAAATTCGATCCTCAAAATTCGAAACCGATAGACCAACAAATGAACAAATTGAGAAACCGACAAACCACGGACGGACCTTTCTTTCCTTCTTGGCCGTCAGTAGGGAGCATGGGTCTGGCTACCATTCATCGCATCAACGGTTTTCATGTAATAACAGAGCACATTCTGTGTGATCGGTCACGACAGCGGCACTCGCTGCCGCCCGATTCTGTTGCAGATCTCATCGATCACTTTCTGCAAGTTCCTTGTCACCTGCAGCAGCCTTTGTGGCGGATGGCGAGCAGGACATAGGTCAGTGTCACAGATCGCAGAGCGTTGCGCCAGGTAGTCGAGGCACTGGGCTATAGATTTCAAGAATTGGTCTCGAGTGCCAAAGCCGCCATCCACCCAAAGTTCGCCGATCCTGTCCAGCAGCACCTTCATACTAAGGCCCTGATCCGGAAACAAATATATGGACTTTGCTGCAGTTGCTTTTGTCAAATTTTCCCGGCTGATCCGTTGCCATGCAGCCCGAGCTCCTGAAAAGACCAAAGGTTGCAGGGACGCCAGCCGTTGTGATTGGCCGCTTTGCAAGCCATGGATTGTTCAACGAGGTTGAGGATCGATTCCCCGATGCTCTGCAACACGGCCCGGGCGTCGGCTGATATCCCACCGTTGAAGCTCTGGACCAATGTCACCGTCGTCATCATCAGGCTCGGGTGCAATGTCTGGCATCTCATCTGTTGGCTTAAAATGTTCTGCATGCGTATTCCGAGGAACACCTGCCGTCTGTCCCCATACCATGTCCGAGTCGATCGTGGCCAGATATGCGATGCACCAAGCCGGTGTTGTCCTTGCCGATGTGTCATGTAGGCGGTCGCGCAGCAAGCGACAGATGCCACGACCACCCGAAAGCACCACATATGCACAAGCCAGTGTCAGCATAGAGCCGCACAGTTCGACGGTCTCCCAGTGATGATCGTGAATTAAGATTCTGGAGGTCAAAGTCAGCAGTGCAATGGCAACATGCCGCATGCGATGCGAGTGCGACCCGCCAAGTTGCCTGCAGCCAGCCAAGGGCGGGCACGGCAACAGGGGTAACAGGACGTCCAGATATCATTCCAAACCAGCCATTCAGAATCCAGCCCAAATCCGTCCAGAATTACGCTAAACTCGGTCCCTTGTTCGAGAGGTCTGAGGCACCATGCGGATAGCATATTCCTAAATATAATGTACAAATATACCATACAGATTATAATATTTTAGCATATATTTGATAAGCTATTGGATTGTATGTTTTCAGCTGGGACCTCCTGCAAGGGCAAGGTAGCAATCTCCCTGGGCTTTAGCTTCGCCTTCCAACCCAACCGCAAAATTCGTGGATAAACCCACGGTAAAAAACAGAAAGGCATACAAAAAAACAGTACAAACGATCGGTAGAAAAAACTCCGATTTTCCAGACCATGAGAACCGAAAATGTTTGCATTACTTTGAAAATTTTGGAAAACAAAATTGATGTCGCGAATATATACCGTGCCTAGCATTATTTCGATTATTTATGACTTCAAGATTCTGACCCCCGGAAGCAGTTACGCCTCTGCCGAGCCACACGCAAGTGGCAAAATGGTTGCAGCAACAGGACTACTATGGTAAAGAATTGAAAATCGAGCTGATTAGGGCATCATCAATTTTGCGTGCTAGAAAAGAAATTTCTTTCTTTTCATAATAGAAATTGTCTCCAATTTACAGATAATATTGTGCAGATATCCATGATGCTTACAAAAAGCACCGTATAATCTGATTATGCTAATTTGCGCAAAATTATCTCGCATTTGCCAACAATGCCAAGACCTTTTCTTAAAGTTGCAAAAGGCAACTCGAACAGAAGGTCATTCAAAACATAGAATAAATAACCAGTGTAATTACAACAAGCCAGAATGAATAATGCACATATGGGTATATATATCAAAAGATGCAGATCGAAAATAAATCAATATAATATTGCCAAACAAACGGAAAAAATCTTTCAAAACATCAAATAATTTTTTATTTAATCGATATAATAATAACACACAAATGCATTCTATCAAAATATCAAATATAAATATTATATTTATGATGAATTTATATTTTAGTAATGTACGACGCATATATCCGAACATTAGAAAGGAAAATGCTAACGCACGCGTCCAAGAAATATTCCATAAATATATAAAAGCGAAATATAAAATATAAATCCAAAATCGATCGTTACGAATAAATTCGAAATAAATCATAATTTATTTGCAATATGCTATACGGAATTCGAATGCGCAATCGACGATATCGGAACGTAAAATTATTTAATAATACATATTCCGAAACAAAAATAACATATATAAAATAATTGAATTATTCTTTATATAAAAAAATCGAAATATATAAAATAATCTATTTATTTAAAAAATTTAAAAAACCGGACCGCGACGGAATATATAAAACAAATATATATAAAACAACCAAAATTAAAAATAGAAAAAACAAAATATAATAAATAATCCAATTATTTCGATTATTTTATTTCAAAAATCCGTATATATCTATTCGATCGTATTCCAATTTATATTATTAAACAAAATAAATATATTATTAAACAAAATAAATATAAATAAACAATTATATTAAATATACATATTTCTTATAAAATTCATTATATCAATATCGATATTCAAAGAATATTTATAATCTTTTTTATTTAAAATTCTAAATATAATATATTATATTAATATTATTAATTAATTGTTATATATTATATTTTAGGGAGTATTGCATCTTCGTAATCGTTCTCTTCGTTCCTGCATTCATTGAAAGATTCATTGCCATCTATATTAATGATATATTCTTTGAATATCATTTGTTGTTCAAAAGATGTGATTTTTATTTATGGATATCCATGAAATTTCCCCTAAAGAATCCCAATAATCATTGAATTCACGGGCCTGAGGGCTCATGAGCGTGGATGATCTTGGCACTTTGTCATGGCAAAGGCAAGCACCCAAGCGTTGGCAGTAGTTGCTTGCGCACACCACCTGCCAGGCAACATGATTGTGTGATTCACTTTTTTGGCGTGAGGCGCTTGGCGCTTGGCCGTCAGAAAAATGTACTCACGCCTCGTCAAGACTCACCAAACCCAACACTGAGAAAGCATGCATTCCACAACGTTCCGCCATGAGTCTGTCTCATCCAGCAGTCAAATCTTTCAAGGTTAAAGTTTTGATTTACTCAAGGGCCTCCAGGGCAAACGGACAATTTCACCTTCGTGAAAATTGTCAGTGATTGGATCATATTGGACATATTTCCACACCGACTGCACGCATTCTGACTGATGCCTTGGACTTGGACTGCTGCAGTGGGCTCATGATGCTCATGCTGGGCACATGAGCCTCATTCAGATGTGGCCGAGCTAGCAGCCAGCTCGCACTTTCTCACAAGATTGCGGCTTCTCTGCTACTTCGCTGTCATGATCACCAGATTCACACGCTGAAAAAGCTTACAGCATCTGGGTCTACGACTTTGCTTGCACCCAGCTCGTCGCACCGCACTGACTCCTGAGCACAGGTCCAAGAACACTTGAATGACACTCAGGCGCTCCCTTTGCAGCCCAGAGTCCAAAGAAACCCAATCCATCTTCAGAAGGGAGGCGCTCCCTCCTCGTGTGAGTGGAGAGGGAATTGGCCACCCTACATGGGTGGCCCATTCTGCATCATGCGTGTCTGGCGCATTCAAGTCGAGCCGACTGTGTGCTGGTATGTCACCAGCTCATACATTGCAACCCACCATCCCCCAACAAAAGGGTGTCTTGCCATGTCTTACGCACCCCAAGGGCCCGGCCCTTCAAGAAGTTCACCACCTCTACGATTCCAGGTCGCTTCAATGGATCTTCATTCGTCATGTGAGAGATCACCTCCAACATCTCCTCAGTCACCCGACGAGACCGCCGTTGACTTGCAAAACAAACGAACAGCATAGCAGCCTGATGATATTTGTTGGGATCTTTAGTATTGATCCAATCTGCAAATCTCAACGTTGCCTGGGTATGGCACAGGTTCTTTCAGCGCAATCCGAGGAAAATTGAAAACACACCAATTACCGCAAGTGAGACTGAAAACGCCTCGCTCAATTGTATTGTATGTTTCTATATATGTTTCTATTTGTCTGCTTCAGTGAGAAGACTGTTTTTGGGGATGTTTCAAATGCTACAGTACTTCGTCCTCCAAGGAGGATGGACCCACATGGATGCTTGCCGTGGTTCGGAACAAAGCGTGTGTCTTGCTGACTGTAGTTCCTGCAACGCTCCACCCAATTCACACTGCATGGCGTTCAGCTTGATGAAATGTTGTTTGATCTGCAAGAACATTGAATATTTGCATCCTTTCAGTAGCACTCCAGGGCATATCTCTGTTGCTGTCTTGCATGTCCATCATTGAGTGGATGATTTTTTGGCCAACCAAGCGAATTCATGCAAACTCGAACTCAAAAAGAAACACGCTTCCCTACCAGACTCTGAATTTGGATCCACAAACAAGGAATTGGTCCTCCTTCACAACTTGCAAAGTTCGGCCCAGGGAATACACGTCCGCCTTCAGGCCGTTGAAAGCACCTTCACACTGCGCCAATGATCGAAACTTTTATTTCAGGGGTTCAATGTCCAGCATACAAAGTTTGACTGACTGGATCGTTACACGTGCTTTACAGATGAGAATCAGCTACATCGAGGAAGGCACTGACATCAAACAAACTCTCTGTGGTTCGAAGGTGCATGTGAAGGTGGATCTAGCGTTCGATATTCACTACCTTATAAATGATACCATCTACAACCTTCAGAACATCATGTAAAGTGTACACCCACCCTTAAAGCGCAAGCACAAAGAAGAGCATGCAGTTGTCATGATTGACCTGCAAAACAAGTGTTTGCTTGTGAAGCTGAATCAGTTGGTCAAGAATAGAAAAGGATTGCAGTTGATCTTCCTTGGCTCGGACTTGGATAGGAAACGGGGAGTGGGAGAGCAGCAAAGAGACGTGAAGCAGTTCTGCACAGCATGAAGCGGGGAGCGACCTTAACTGTTCTGCAATTTCATTGGTACCCCCCCTGCAGACCAACATGGACCCTGAGAATTGACCCGTGGTTTCGACCATGGATGAGTGCTGCACGCCCCCAAGCGCCAACCCTGAGCTCGGCAACAAAGACCATGGACATCCATGGACCATAGGGGCATCTGGATGCATCTGGTTTCTTTGCACTGGTTGGATCATCTGCAGTCGGTCCTGTCGGCACCTCTTGAATCCCCTTCTGCCATTCCCTCATCAAAACGCACGCCTCCGCCCTCCACTTCAGGAGCTCGGAAATGTGGGGTGCCACATTTGCCCATCATTAGCTGTCTCGCCTCAGCAAACTCATCTGAGATTAAAAACACGTGCGCCGCGTGCGCCCCATTGGATGCAAGATTGATGCAAGTGGTTTGCCCTGCACGTCTCAGATTCCATGTCTAACCAACAGGTGGCGACATCCTCTGACTGAGGACAAACACATATTCCATACATGTCCACACAACATTGGAGACATGAAGCCTGTATGTGCGTGATTACACCTGACGTAAAGCCAATGAACAAACAGCAAAAGAGAACTAAAGTAACTAAAAAAGAAACAGGAAACCAGGAAACCTATATGCAGACCACAAAGCTGCAAGATGCTGCAAGCATGTTGGAGGAGAGTGTTAGCTTTCGACTCAAAAAGGATCTAGAAACGGTTTGTCTGCACAACAAATGAAAGTTTCAGGTCAGGAGGCATCCTGGAGCTCGCACGAGGTGACAAAGTCGCAGAGGCGCACATCTCCTTCGACTTCGGTGACAATTCGAAGAAAGACGTGGAACAACAGCACCCACCAATCAAAGGCTTTACGCACAAGGATTTGCAAAACCCTTCTATTGGCGATGTGGATCAATTGGCACAATTGCCTCCCGAGCGACTTGCTAAGCGTTCAACACAGAACGACCACGCATCTGCCTCGATGTTTCAAGATGTTTGAAGCCTTTGATTTGTCTGAACTCTAAGCACTCCTTCACCAGAGAGGAGGACATTGTCGGGCTTGAGATCAAGATGGACCACTAGCTTTGAATGCCTCAGCCACCAAATACTACATGAAATCAAGCGAGAATGAATGCTGGTGAACCTGGCGAGATATACAGTATATATACATGTATTATATTCATGCCGCGAGCTCAACAACGCGACTCAATCTGTCAGGACAAGGAGACGGAGACGCTTGGCGCAGCTAAGGTACAATTGCTGAACTGCCTTTCAGGGAGAAGTGGCCCAGAACCAGAAGAAGGCTGTCAGGCTATCAATCTCAGAAAGAAGTGTGCGATATTATTTCTTGACATGCCAATTGTTACAGATTTGAATGACATGGTTTCGGAATGTGTCGGATTTTCGGACTGCATTGAATATCGTTGAATGCACCACCCGGTGAAACCACTCGCCTGGCAGAGCTGCAGGGCCACTGGGTCGGCCTTCCGAGGGAACTTCTCCAAGAACACCGCCAGTCGTCCCCCCGCACAAAGCTCCAGGACCGTCCAGAAGTCCGTGTCGGTGTCGCACACACCTCTAGGGCCGTTCATCGGATGGTGGTGATGGTGGTCATGTCATGTCGACATCACGCAGACGTTGTCAAAAAGAAGAATGGTTCTATTGCCTTACAGATCTTACAGTATGCTTTTGCATGCTTTTGCTCATCTTTGCTGGCACATGTTCACAGGTTGAGGCATCTGCCCACATCCAGGGATGATCACAAATCGTGCGCCACCAAGCAACACGGAATAGTGTCACAAAACGTACCACTGTGATGTTCGCGGTCCATGGTCCCTTTCGTCACATATATTTGCAGTTGGGCTGCCATGCAGTCTCACCACATATGGCGCCTTGCTAAGCTTCTGAAGCATTTTCACTTCCTGGGACGAAAGTCGGAACCTCACCAAAGCTGGCCTCATGTTGGTGCAGATGTGTTCTTTTCTCATCTTGCTTGCAGAAGCGACAATGTGGTTCTCAAAAACACGTCCTTCGTGAAAGCAGTTTAACCCCCAGAAAGTGCAGCTACTTGCTTGGATAGTGCCGAGCTTCATTGATGTAGTCACCAGAGCGATGCACTTCACATCCCTTCTGAATTCTCTTGCCAGCAACGGTCAGCCCTGTTCGCCTGGAGGGTGGAATCAAAGCAAGAAACTTCTAACATTCAGGAATGGTTTCGAATGCTATTTTCCAAGCGAGATTTGGGCAATTATCGAACAATGTGTCCAATAAGTCCAGTCCACACACATCCACCTAATTGTGTATAGATGTCAATAGGACATGAGGGACGTAAGTCTGAGAATGCCCAACTGCTTTAAAAACTGAGAAGATAGAGAATATATGAGAATATGTTTTATAGATGTCTGAGTGTCTGATCAAACGAAAGTCACCAATGAGACAGCGAAACACCAACTCCACAAGGCTCGGCCTATGGCGCAAGCGAAAAACCGCTGACATCGGTCTCTCCTCGGAAGGTGTCAATGGAGGACGAGACTGTACGATGCCACTTAGCCAGTTCAACAATGGACGTGTGGTTGCACCAAATCAAGATTTCTTTGGAAACATCAAACTCTTGTCACCATTTGTCACCTACAATGTTACTTACTTCAACAAATGGTGCCTCAACATGTTTCAACATCCAAATGTGGTTGTTTGACCGCCCAGCGGCATCCAGGAGATCCAACTGCTCAAACTCCTCCAACTGCAGAACTCTCACACCGCCGCTAAGCGGTGTTGGCGCCGATGGTGCCTGGAAGAAAGCTCCAAAGCCAGCAGCCAAGCCAGACCACCCGGCTTGAATTTGCATGGAATTCTCTCATACGTAAAATAAAGTACAATAAATAAAGGAGTGGGAAGGCTCTGGACTTCGTGTTCTTACTGTTGCATCTGGTGTACAATGGTGAGAGGGGAACCCAACTCGAGTCCTCCTTGCCCACAGCTTTGCCAGTCGACCTGGCGGTCAACTTTAAAAATGTTCATGAAGAAACTAAAATGGTTACTGTATATACTCCACGGCGTTTGGTTTGAGAGAACTAGCGATGTCTTCCCCATTGCCCAACAGCCGAAAATGCGGAGCTCTACGTTTAGCTCGTTCAGTCGCGCCTATCTGGTTTGACACAAACACCTGTGGCAAGCACCAAAAGAAGCAGCGAGGCAGTTGCAAAATCCAACAGCACGGAGATACTTGCGGGGTCTACCTGCTACGAACATCCTGAGTGGATCATCAGGTCTATGCAGGTATTATCATTCAATGTCAAATTGCCATATCTGCCCCAAACAATCGACTCCTTCCAGTCTAAAAACAGCTTGTCATGAGTCAGAAGGTATGTTGCAGGTGTCTTTGTAGTCGTTGACACACGGGTCATCAGTCAAGGTATATAGTTAATATAAATAAGCATTATATAGCTGCGTCAACGCTGCATATGTCTGTCCCCTCATTGCATGTCTTTCTTTTGCATCTTGTGTTTGTGTTTTATCTGCTTTCAAGTGTACGAGTTGTATATACTACAGAATCGCTTCGCCGTCACTGCGCCCTCGCCTGCATCTGTGCCGACTTCGGCCTGTACTCTATATAATATATATATAGGCGGTACCATGTCACTGGAGATACAGTTTCACAAGTTGGACAGCAAGAAGATGCAAAGGGTGATACTGTCTACTTGGGGCAAAACAGTCGGGGGAGAAGTCGAAATCCACTGTCTACTTGGGTCAAAACGTCAAAACAGCTGGGACTTTGTCAGCTTCGTCTTACGATGTCGAATGGACTGAACAATGACTGCAAACGGCACCTTCGCCGGAGCCGTCACACTGCTCTCTGGCGGATCCTAGCAGCTCTCGGGCTGTTGCGCAACTATGTGAAAAGTCATCCAAGATCATGACAAAGTGAGTATTTATGTTTTATATAGTAAGTCAGGATCAAGCTACGAGATGCAACGAGTACACCACCCAGTATGAATGCCTAGATCGCACCCATTGCTTGCTACAGCTACACCCTGCGACCGTGACGCCTGCAAGGGCACCACTGCATGGCTCGCTCCGCAACCCATGGCACCAGCGCGTCGTGCAAAGGGGCCCGGACAGCCCCAAGTCACTTGGTGCCTTGTTCTTAGATCTTAGAAGTAGTGGGTAATGCTTTGAGAAAACCTCGACTCAAGTGCCAAGCTTGATTCAGAGTCGTCAGAGTCTTCATAATTAGGGCAAGCTGATTGGAGATTGTGCACATCATGTCATATGGCACAGAAAGGCTGCAAATCAAGCCAGTGGCTGATCTCCCTTCTGGTGTTCGTTTGTGCTGTAGTCGTTCGTCCGTTCGGTGCTAGGTCTGTGCTACTTCAACCCTGAAACAAGTGAACAATAGTGAACATATCCGTACTGTTCCGTACTGTAAATCTCCTGCTCTTCGACGGTTGTCATACCCAGTAGTGGATTCAGGTGAAACCAAGCTGAAAAGCCAGCAAACGCCAGTCATCTCCAGAGAGTGTTATATGTTGGGTAGTCCATCGCCCGCTGCAAGCAAACGCTCAATTTGCTGTCAGAAGCAAACCCAAGCCATCGGATCGATGTTTTCATGTTCGAAAGGGAGGCAAAAGTGTGTGCGACGAGCGATGCCTTGTTTTCCTTCGCTGTTCAGAGGTCCGTCCAGCGAAACGTTGAGCCACTTGCCAGCTGTACAAGGTTCGGCAGCCACGGTGATCGAACAACCAATATCGGTACTTTTTGTTGCACTCAGTGACGGTACCTAGTCAGCTGCTCTTTTGAACAATCTCATGCTGAACCCGTGGAGCGGCTGCAACGGAGTGCCAAAATTCCTAATTTTCGCTAGAAGTTGGCAACTTCCCTGGGGCCAAGCGACTGGATACCACTGGACCCCCTGGTGTCATCTAATCACAAAAGCGAGCTCGAGATGTTCTACCCTCTTCCACTTTGTGGGTAATTCAACATCTAATTGAAGGACAGTATGATATGAATCATACTATGAAGGAGTGCTTCGACAATGAGCCTCCTAAGCATCCGTAATGCAAAGTTGCCTTGAGCCTTGAACATCCTTGAACGACCAAGCAAGCTGCCCACTGTTTCTCGGGCTCGTCCTGGTGAAGCTTCGCGTTCATCCCACCACACTTCTGAGCCACTACTGAACTAAGCACAAGGACGAGGAATTCTCCGAGACCTCAATCGCATCTGCGAAATCAGGAAGCTCAATCTTCACATTATAGAAAATACAAAGTTCCCTGCAGTCCGGCAAAGGTCCAGTAGAAGTCATTGAAGTCTATCAGTTCAACTGCCTTTCTTTTTCAACAGTTTCTTGCAGCTTGTGAATTTCTTTTGGGGCTTCACATTTGAAGTCACAGCTTCAGGAGCCGAACCGATATCAAAGGCTGTCTGAAGTGGGCCCTGTCATGCTGCCAAGGAAAAAGGGAAGTTGATGAAAAGAGGCTTTGAGCCAAGCTTACAAAGGCACCACCCTCCCTCCAACATACATGGGGAGTCGAAGACCGACAGGTTGTACAGTCGTCCTCCAAGGGCCCATCCTCCGCTTGCTTGCTGGAAGTCAAAGGTTTTGTTCACGTGGTTTGTTCCCAAGTAGTTTGCCCAGCACCATTCGGCACCCGAGGGATTGACTTTAGAGACACAGGGCCAGAGGAAATGGGATCTTCACAGGATCGCGAGTCTCAAATGAGCCAATGACTCAGCATTGAACAGCTGAAGTACACTGCTGCCTGATGCTGCCTGCAAGTATATGTCTGGAGGCTATGCATATCCCAAAAATGCAGCATTGGAACCAGCGACCAACGCTCCCCGCATCGCAAGGCAATCATGCCAAGGGCGACCCATCCTCTCTGAAACGACGCAGTTTCAGCTCGGAGTCCTGCAACGAAAAGCAACAGCGTGTTCCACAGATAGTTGTTTGTGGCAACTTCACATGCCCAGCTATCAACCCCAACGAGGCAAGCACGGTTCCCAATCTTTGAAAGACCCACACATAGCGACCGCACGTCTAAACTCCTCTCGCACTTGGAGCACCGCTCGCGGATGTTCCTGGAGCGGTTCAAACAACTGAAGCATGACAACATGACAAGTGTCAAGCATGACAACAGGTAGAACCTGGTTGAAGCCCAACCTGGCCAAACCAAAATTGCCCTGGAGTCCCTGGAGCAGTGGATTCCCTGCCTTGACATATTGCTGTAGTTGGGCCAGCGCAGCTTTGGTTGTGGCGGAGGCCTGTTTCTTTCGTGGGCAAACCGTGGCAAACCAACAAAGCATGAAATGCATGGCAGGCAGGAAAGCAGAAAAAGGTGCCATTTGTCAAATCAGACACAAATCTGAGTCCCCTGAATATTTCTGAATCATCTTTGTTCAAATGGAGTGGTATCAAATCCCCCACAAGCTCAGGGACAGGCCTGTGAATGCATCTCATCGCTAGAGATGAGGCTGCGGATATCCTTGGGTTGCACATCCTTAGTGAGACTTGGACATCCCCTCTCCCAACAAAAGCGCCAAATCTCTCAGACCAACCGCGTTTCGTCCATTTGGATCCCCTGAAAGCCCCGCGCAGCTGAGTGAATCGCACTTTGCAACTCAGCCCTGCACAACACTTCTCCACATCATCCACATGCGTACCACATGCTCGATGTAATCCTCAGACACAAAGCCATGGAACTGGACTCATTACAATAGATGGTCAGCAAATAGAAAACTCATCTGGCCAGCAAACCATTGGGGTACGTACATTCAAATTCCTACCACTAATCATCCTCGTCTTCGTCGTCTTGCCTTCCCCTTGCCTCTTTCTCCCCTTCCTCTTTGTCTTCCATGTCTGTTTGCTGCCTTTGCTGCGCCTTTACCGCTTTTCCCATGGATCCCTCAAACTTACTCCCGCCTTGAAGAGAACAACTAGCGTGATAAGCAGCGAGCACGTGTCAGAATGTGTACCTTGGTGTGATTAAAGTCTCCGGTGTGTCGATGAATTTCACACTTTCCAAGCTAGCTCTGGTAGCAAACAAATGTTGGAGTTGTGATTGCAGTCAATACAAGGATTGAAACACGGGGGTGGCCCCGGAAAATCACGAATGAAGGCACAATGCTCATGTCGAGGCAGTACGTGGATTTGCTGAGAGTCCAGCTGCAAAGGAGGAAGCTGACACCCAGGAGCCAGATTCCCCATCCAAGCATCCTGCTTTGGCGCACAAAAAAAAAATAAAATCTCAAAACATTCAACACCAATCACCTGCATCCAAAAAAATGCCCACTGCTACGCATACGTGATTGTACATTAGTCTACCAACCTGGATCCCTGCGTCCTTGCCTCTGCGAGACAGGCACTGGTGGCAGTAAGTCTACCCTGCGGCCATCTCCGCCGATGATGAAGTCAATGTCCCCTGCATCGACCAGTCTGACCAGTTGCCAGACTTCTGGACTAAGGCAAGAAATAATATGTCTGAAGATTTCTGAAGTACATCTATTATTCCAGGGCAGAACACACTAGTTACAGTTTCATAGTATTATTATTATTGTTTCCCAAAAACAAATGACTCCTTGCCCCTTGCAACGGAGGAATGACAGCCTTCAGGCTCAGGCGATGCAGCGAAGTACCGGACACTGAGCTTGGCACCTTTACAGAGTCTATGGCAAAAACAAAACCAATGCAAATGCGGCAGCAGCGTTTTGAAAAACATGTCAACCAAGGAATTGGTCCTATGCAACCACATCCAAGGCTCCAAAGCTTGAGCGGGCCTAGGTGTACTAGCACGAGGCAGCTGACAATGACCAGGAGAAAGGCCAGCCAACCTGTGCAGTTTAGGGGGCCAGACCACCCATCCAACAGTGGACAGGCTTCAAATAAAAAGAACCCAACCACTCAAGGAATTCATGTGGAGTCCGAAGGCACAAGGTCACAAGGATCAGTTGCAAAGCATAGCTTCAGTGTGCTTGTGTATGTTTCTGATTCCTCCATATTCCCCTTGAAAAGAGATCCCCAGTGTCACAAGCCACCCAGCCTATTGGCAAATCGAAGATTGGGTCCTTTAGACCTTGAAAGTGGATCTGAGATGAACCGAGACTGACAAGCTCTCCAAGACATTCCGTAACGACGTTCTCGCCTGCCGTAACATGATACATGATAAACATCAGCTCTCCAAGAAGAGCCCCCACAGATCCCCACAGTAGTTTTCGGGTACCGCCCCACCGGGGAGTCGCAGACTGTGCAGAAACGTATTGTCAGAAAGTAGTTGGGGAGTGGTTGGGGGGTTCGAGTGGGACAATGACCTTAATGTTGCATGTGATACATTCTGTTAGAAGGTAGTTGGGGGGGTGTTGGGGTGGGATAATGACGTTAATGATTAGACGTGGGGGTTGTCCATTTTTGCAAGGCGACATTACAAACATTCACGCTGGGGTTAGGCAATTGCGGCAATTACAATAATGTTGTGGTTAGCAAATAGTTGCTGGAAATCCATGAAAAATGGTTGCCGGCCAGTGTCGTTCTGTGAACCCGCAGCTGATCCAATGTGTCCGCAGCTGGCAGTACAGGATGTCGCGGAACGTTTGCCAATCGATGTTCAAAAACACACCGGCATTTTGAACACATGTCGACCTTCAACACGCGCAACGCCTGAGTGGGGTTGATCCCTAGTTTTCCTCATGCTCTAAGTGCAGATCCAAGCCAAGACTGCCAGTTGGGAGCCTCAGGTGACAACGTACACGGGGACAGCCCGAAGCCAACTCGTTTTCAGGAAGTTGTTCGTTTACTAGGCTAGCAATCAGTCAGAAAGCCAAAGATCAAAGATATACCTTTTTTCAAACCATCAAGAATCGAGAAGCTCCCTCGGTTTTCTGTACTTGCTAAGGAAAACCCGAGGCCGAAACAGGAAGCCACCTCAATGTCCAAGCCAACAACGCCTTAGAGAAAATGTTTGGCTTATATATTCCAAGGCTGTTTGCTGTTGAGTTTTGACTTGCACTGGGTCTCTGGCATTTCGAGCTGCAGGAATAAACGCCAGTGCTCCAGCTAGAAGAGTCGTTAACTGGGTGAGCAGTCGGCAAAAAACTGAGCGTCAACCTAGAGAAGCATGTATTCCGAATTCCCCTCTACTCA